TCAAACTTTAAAGAAGTAAATCAAGTATATGCTTATTTTTTGGTTGTTTTTCTTTTTTTTTTTTTTTGAAGTAGACAGTCATACATTGACAACCTAGTTTATCTAGTTTTGGGAGTAAAAAAACAAAAAAAAAAAATAGCTTTGGCTAAAATCGGGAGTTTCCCTAACTCGTCCCACTATGCTGTCTGCCAGTTGTCAATGTTTGACTCTATTGGTGTAAAATAAATAATGTAAACAATTACAATAAAACAAATATTTTTAATATAAAAAATTATAACAAAATTGAAATAAATAAATAACATTAAAAGAGACATAAATAAGAAAAAAAAAAGTATTTCTTGAAAGTTAGGATACTTCAATCTAGGAGATGCAAAAAAATGACTTATTGCTAACAATCCATTAAATAACAAACATGTTTAAGCTAATTTTTAAACGAAATCTTCTTAACCTCTAAATTTAAAATATGTGTCTGACCATTTCAATTAATCTACACTATGATGTCATCTTCAGAGCATCGAACAGCTGTTTTAATTTATTACAACAAAAAACAAAACAAAATTCTTTTTAGCACCACTTCTTATTGAAAAAATACTAATTGAACATAAGAAAAAAAATGAATGAAATAACGAATTACTAGTTCCTTATGAATAAATGTTTTGTTAAACACCTTTAAGTTTTTGATTATATTATTATTTTTAATTTATAAAGAATAAAACTTTTATTAAGAAATAATATGTTCTGCCACATTCACTGTAAATAATTATTAGAGTTCTATGAGAAATATTTAGACATAAAAGTAAAATAGTAGATATGTTTATAATAATTTGTAAAAATAAAAAAGTCTTCCTTGCTGCAATGTTTTAAGTCTCGTCTTTAAAGACTCGATTTTATTAAATTAAAAAAGAAAAATAAGATATTAAAGTGCGTCGGCTTTGACTTTTTAGGATTTCTTCTTTTTGTTTCGTTTAAGGGAGCATGTTTCCAGGAATTCCTGAAATCAAACAATTTAAAAATAAATATACAATGCATTCATGATTTGATAAAATAATAATAAAAAATAGCTGAAGCTATATAATAATATAAGATACATAAAATGAAGATATACGGTAATTAAAAATATATATAACTCACAAAACAAATATAATAAATAAGATGTTAGGAAAAATAAATATTTTTCATAGAAACAGAAAGTCAAATAGTTAAAATATTTATTGTATTAATACAAAAATGTATCAAGTTAAGAGTTATTAAATTTTGGTACTCTTTAAATGGAAAATTAAGAACAAAAAAAGACTAATATAAGTTCATATTTAAATAATAACGTGTCTTAAGTACCAAAATATACAGTACTATGTTACGCAATATGTTTTTTGTAGTTAATATTAATTTATTAAACATTTTTGTTTAGTATTATAATTCTATAAAATATATTTTTTTTAAACTCCATGTAAAGAAACATTTAGTTGGAGAATGTTCAATAAAGAAACCGTTGCTTTTTTTTTTTTTATGAAACACGATTGTCTTTTTTTTTCAAACCTACTGGTGTGTGAAAAATATTTTTTTATCTTACCAATCAATTCAACTGAAATTTGTTTGATGAACTGGATAGTACAATTTCAAAACATATATTTTCCATTTAAAAAATCTTGGGATGAACACAGGTTTTAGATATTTTTGTAGACGTTTAGAAAAATGTTTATTTCTAATCACAGAAAAAGATATATATTGTAAAAATGTACCTAAAATCATTAAAACATAAAGTGAAGATTCTTCTAAAAATTCTTCCGTGTTGAAATTTTGAATTGTTGAAAGTTCAAACTTTTAGGAAGGCCATTTTTTCTTCGAAATTGATTCTTATAGACTGTTCTGTCCTTTGAATACATTTCACTTAAGTTTGCGTATCCAACAAACAAAAAACATAATGTTTACTATTAATTGATTAACTTATTGTAAGAAAAAAAGGCTTAGGAATTTGAGGAATGTGCAACTGGAATAAAAATTTAAAAGTGTTACAGTGTAAATAATCTGCATTGTTATGGGTATTGTTCGTGTTGGGTACCCAACCTTTTCCATGAAGGAACTTTCTTGGAAATCCTGCCCAAACAATAGTCCCAGTTCATGAACCGGCAGGAATTAATGTGTAGGTTTGTAGTTTTCCAAAATGTTTAATGTTCTCATTTTACTTTTAAAACTCGATAGTTTTAAAAAGCTAATGAATGCATTTTACGATAATATCATTAAGAAATTACTTAATAATTATGAAAGAACGAAACATATTGTTGTCTGATAGTAGGAGTGAAAAGGAATGAAACGAACTGAGTAAATATTTTGAAGTATTCAATAAACCATCATTCAAACATTTAAGTTAACGCTATTTATTTATTTATATACATATGTTATAGTTTCCATATAATTTTCAATTCCATCTTAGGCATGCTTATTTGGTGCTTATTACAGAGAATTCTTGTACGTATTGTTGTAGAATTGTTAAATAATTTCTTTGCCTATTATTGTCACATATAAACATTTTTTTGTATCACTATCTTGTTATCTATATGTTTCAATACTCAGAATTTTAAAATATTTTTAAACGAGATAATGCGTAACAAACAGAAAAAAGGGTTTATAATTAATGTTTTTTTAAAATAAAAAAGTAATATTTAAAATAAAAGTATGTAATTAGGTATAAGGAAATATTGTTATTAACAACATAGCAAACATAATTTTAAAACAAATTTAAGCACCCAGAATTTTTAAATATATATGTACATGTAATATAAAAACTTTCCTATGACAAATAATTGTAGGAATTTTAAACATAAAAAATCTATGGATATATTTTTATTTATATTTTTATGAATCACTAAAAATTTCTCAATTAAAAAAAAATAGCTGCTCTGGAGATAGAAATCATAAATTGAACTTGACATTTTGTAAAAGAGTAAAAATGGTTATTTTTTTCTTATTATTGAAATTCGAATATAACTACAAGTTTGTTTTTTTGGCTTAGGTCAGTAATATTTGTTTAAAATTAAAAGAAAATCAGGTCCCAACCCTGTTACTTTTAAAAATAACAGTGATTTGAAATTCATGGTCAATGCAAAGCTGTTATTTTTTCTAATCCCTTTCAAGTTCAAGTTTTACATAATTTACTAGTGAGAAATCCATTCATTAAAAATAATTAAATAAGTATTTCAAAATAACTAATAATTCAGGTTATATAAGCTTACTGTTACATAACGTAGGATTATTTATAAAAATAGATTTAATGACACATCAATGATGTAAAAAGGAAAACAAATTAAATTAAAGCTTTTTAAACAACTAGAATCTAGTCTAAATGACTTTTTTTTTTTAATTTGTAAACAAAAATTTGTCTTTATCGGTTCCATTAATGAATAAATAAATAATAGGAAAAAAATGTGAACTAATAATTACAATAATAATGAGTGGAAGTGATAAGTTATCTCTGATAACGTTCAGTGGCTAACCGTTTCATTCATAGTCACCAATTAGTGACTTGTCTTAGTACCGCGTCTGGCTGGCCCATTCATAAGTACCTTATACACACAATCATAACCTGTACGCTGGTTCAAAATCTGTAAACATATATATTTATTAAATTAAATTTAAAATTAAAATCTACATTTTTAAAACAATTATTATACAACTACTGGTTACTTAAAACAAGAATATTTATTTGACAAAAAAAGAAAAGAAATGTACGTATCCGTTATAACACTATTTTTCTTACATAATTTGAATACAATTTTTTAATGTATTAATTAAAACATTTTCTTTATTTTTTAATTCATGCACCTTTAAAGGATTTGGGACATTAATTTAAAATAACAATTAGTAGGTTTACTCACAATTCATGAATAATGTATTAAGTTACTTTTGTTGTTATAATTATTTATTTTTTAAAAATATAATGCACTATGAATGGAAATAATTTTAAAATAAATAAATTTTAGTCATTATTTTTTAAAAGTGGTTTATTTATTTATTTATAGTTTCTAACATTGGCGAAAATAATGGTAAATGTTTTTTTTTTTAAATTCAATTTAGTTATTGTTTATTTCTATTTTTCAATTCCACTGATTCAAATGAATTAGATTTATTTATTTTTCTAAATCATCATTTATCTATAATATAAAAATACTTGAAATTCATTATAATAATAAATTATTAAATTTTTAAAACATTTTTTTTTTTTAATATTTTGAATATTATCACAGTACCTAAAATTGCATTTCACACTTGTAAATAAATTTTCAGTTTTTTAAAACTATTTTACTTTCTCTAAATTAGTTCTTTTTAAAACAAAAAACAAAAATTTTGAATTTTATAATAATTTGATAAAATTATAAACAATCTTATCAGACATCCATAAAGAGAATTATTTTGTTAGATAACAAACAAATATTTATTCCATGTGATTGAAAGAAAACGCGAGCTAATTCCGAACTAGTTAACAGCTGTTATGTTTGTAAATAAAGGAAGGTTTTCATAATTTTAATTTTTCCCGTAATTTATAATTTTCAAAAGAAATACAGTCGTATTATATGAATGTTAAGATAAAGCCTATAAAATAATATTTTAAATATAAGTAATTACATTCTTACCAATAAATACATTAATCCAAATTAATTATTACAATATTTAAACTGAAGAGACACCGCGATAGGTTATCAAAGAGATAAGGCAAGTTGTAAGGGAGGGCGGGCATTTTAATAATAGTATATTCGTAAGGAATAGTAAAGGCTACCCCCACTCCTCCCAAGAAAGTAGTCCCTCTTTATATCGTAATATAACTGACAGTAGGCCTTGACAGCGACGGGAACTGTTAGAAATATGTTTAAAAAGTGTTAATAAAACATTTTGAAACATTTCCGAACTCGTTGGAAGCCTATTTGCCGAATCGGCACCGTAAAATGAGCGAGTTGACAGGAGTGACCCATTTTGCGCCGGGTTCCCGCCATACTGCCACAGCCTCGTCAGTCTCAGAGTGGCTGCCGGTAGGTACGCATCGCCTCTCTCTATCCTCTCCAAGCCTTCTGTCACTCAACAATGTCTCTCAGTATCAGTCAGTTGTCGACGGTATTTAGTGATTAACAGTGAATTAGTTCTCTTGTGTTTGTAAAAGAAAAGAAGAAAGCCAGGCTAGTTCGGCTCAACGTCTGTTGGATTGCAAATCGCAGGTATGTGTCTCAGAGTTGTCTTCTTACCGGCGAAATTGACTAGTGAAATTTTTCGAATTTATTTAAATTCCCGAATATTATATATATGATATAGTGTATTTTAACGAACTGTATCACATTGTGAAATCGGTATGCAACAAGTGATTACAACATAATCGATTGACATTAGCGGGAAGAAGTTGCCGGTGTCGGCCTAAAAGTGGCATCAGTTTGACATTTTATTCTAATTTCTATTTTTAATTTTTTTTTGTAATTATTTTAAAGTTCAAATCCACCATCACTGTGGAAAGTAACTTTTACAATAAATTGTCAAGATGTCAAAAAAAAAAAAAAAAATACATTTTAGTTTTGACACAGTTAATATAGTTTCACGTTAATCATACTTAATAAGTGAGGAAAATAGTTTCAAATAAAAAAAAAAATTAATACATTGAGATCTTAAAATACTTTGCCCCTGTTTATGTTCATAATCATCGGTCTCCTTGGTAACCAGTCATTACGAGATTGTCTGTGAAGTTACTACTTTAAATGCCTACATTCATTCACAAATCATCGAAATAAAATAATATTGTAAATTTAACTGCAGTTATTTAAACATATATTTTTTAAATTATGTAGTGTTAAATGATTATTAAATGTTTAAATATAATTTAAATTAAAATATGTTTTATAAAAAAATTAAAAATTTTACTACCTAAGTAATTAATTTATTAAATTTGTCACTGAAGTAACATGATATTATTACGTGAATTAACGAACTTTAATTATATATAGGCATAAATTATATTTTTTGAAGAAATTTCTTAGAAATATTTGTTCTTTAAAGTCTGAGAACCGGCTGGGAACGAACCGGCTAAACGTCACCCGGCATTCTTGCCTGGCCAACGCCCTACCGTTGCCGCCCTGTCAAAAAGGCGGCTTCTTATTCTGTACAAGTACAAATTATTTATTTATTTTCTCGTCTGTATACAAATAATTTGATAAATTATTAAATAAATCTTGGGACGCCCAATATACATAATTTAAAAAAAAAAATTAAATATCCTAACTCGGACTAAAATCGATTCCTACCAATTAATCGCCAAATCTCTCGAACCACCTGTTGTAATTAGCTTGTCTCGAGATAAGATTTACCTGGCGCTAAAGTTTTTTTATCGACAGGCAAGTCATCAACGGAGTGGGTGCTTTCTTATGGTTTGTTTAATTTTTTGAGATATACCGGTTTCGTAACAGAGTTATGTCACTCCTATTTTTTTCTCTCATTTAAAATCCCAATCGTAATTTTTAAAAAATTAAACATTGTTTCAACTATTAAGAAATAAAGATATTAAAAATTTATTTCTTAAATTTCATAGTGATATTTCTATTTTTTTTTTTTTTTTTTCATTTCATTTCATTTAACGAATAAAGTTTTTTTCCTTTTTTCTTAATGATATTTTTTTCAATTTATTACGTACCATACTGCATAAAGTGCTCGTTTGAGGCATTTACTCTTATAATTAATTTTTAAAACTGCGAGTTATTTTTTTTTTTTTTTTAATGTGACATTCGAAAGTATACCATATAAAATAAATTGAGGATGTAATTTATTTTTCCTAATTGTCTTTTATATTTCTTTTATTTTGTTTTTGTAATTTTCAAATCCTAAATCATATTCATCATTTCCCGCCTTTCTTTGCTAGTGCTTAATGAAATGTAAAAATACATTTGGAAAACTCTGTAATATATTAAAATTTGAGCATCGAATTAATAATTTATTTTTTTAAGTTATTTCTAAAAATTGTTTGATAGATTTCGAAATTAAAAAATATCCCGATAGAATTTTTTTTTAATTGGTCCAATTTATGAATTTAATCTGAATAATTTTTACAACTCAATGTATTCATAATATTCAATTAAAACTTCACAGATAAATTTATTTTTAATAGTATCCCATATAAAATAAAAGTTATTAATTAATTATGACTTTACTATGTAAACTTTTATGTGTCATTAGATAAATAAATAAACATATATATATATTTATATTATATAATCACGCAGTATTATATTATTATAATGTCTTGACAATTGCTGTATGAAGACACTAGTAGTGAACCGTAGGGTGCATGACCGGCTCAAGGCGAACTCGAGTGACGTGCCATCGGAGGTATCTTCTGCACACATCCTTCAATCTCCACAATTCATGTTTGAAAAAATAATAGAAAAAAATTTATAATTGTGATAAATTAAAGGTCCAATTTTTTTTTCACTAAGAATTTCCCATAGTTTTAAATTGTGTGTTGTTAGTGATTTAAAAGTGAATTGTGTGTTTCTGAAAAGGTACTATTTTTTTTTTTTATAATCTTGCAGACGTTAGAATTTGAAGAAGAGGTTTTCAAGAAGCTTGGCCGTGGTATTGCTGAACGGCCTGTTCTTCAAAACTTTGCAGCAATGTTGTCCGGCTTCCCGAACCTGATGAGCATAAACATGCCCCGTCTGTCAATCGTGCCCGACATACCACTGCCTATGATGCCCATAGAACCTCTTCCGCCTCAAGGCAATCAGGTCTGCACTTTAATAGATATAGATGTATATGTATATGTATATGTATATTCTTGTCTTAATGATTAACATGTTTGAAGTATAATAATTAAAACGTTTTAATATTGTACCAAAAAATATATATAATTATTTTACAATAGTGTATGATGTCAATAGAAACGGTCTAAAAATTTGTAATAGAATTTAATGAGGAATTGATTCGTAATAGACTGTACAATGATTAGTCTAATTTTTTGCAGCGCGATTTTTCTCTTCAAATCACTTAGAGCTTTATCGCTTTAATTTTTTTTATCACTTGAAAGTGTTCGTTTTTTATTATAATTGATCAAAGGAAGTAATATATTTTTTTTTATTTCAAGTAATAGATTTTATTCTGGTTAACAGGCAGCAAATTTCGAATGGGACCGCGATCTTCAGGAATGGGACTGGAGTACCGTATCTGCAGGTCTAGACCTCGAAGTCCCACCGGAAGAATTCTGGAAGAAATTCGAAGAGCTTCCAGACCTGGGAGACAATTTCGAAACCCTCTTCGCCGAAGTGAACGGTCTTGGGAACACCAGCCCCCCCTCGGGTTCTGCCATGAGCGACGTCCTCAGAAATCACGACTGCATGTGGGCGGGAGTGTGCCATTCGAAGGAGCACAAATCGGAAGAGCCCCAGAAGGCCACAAGTTCACAGAGGGCACAACAGTCACCACAGTCCAAGGAAAAGAAGAAGACTGTCATAGTACAGATGAGCAGGTCTCTTCTGATCAACAACCGCCCCCTCACGGACAACATGCTCCTGAGGCCCGACACTCCCCAGTCCTCCGAATCGGAAGACGAACCGGTCGCCAAAAAGACTGTCAGCCCCACGGAAGTGACAGGTCAGTACAGGAGGATCCAGTCACTGTGCCCGTCGCCGGAAGTCACCTCGGTACACTTCGACCACAATTACGGCAACAAGAAGTTGAGGACGGACGAACTAGGAGTACAAACACCATCTGACTCAGGTATGTTTTATCATAGTACATTTTATTCATTAACAGCTTATCTGGCCATACTGAAATGTCCTATCAAATATAACAACTTCAAACTTCCAAAAAAATAATTAGTGACAGATTAATGTGGTCAACATTTTATGCACTAATATATTTTGCTTTATGATCATAGTACAGATTTGACATAAAATGTCAATTAATTCACTGCTTACAATTATTAATTATATCGATACTTTTTATACCTTAATGGTGATTCTTGTCACCTCTTCTCTAGGGTGGGCTCGTATAAAAACGTTTCTCCACGCCGGAAGTGCCGATTTTGTTTTACCCTTTGAATATTTCCAGATGATAGTTAATTCGGCGGACGAACCGGAAGGTGTGGAGATGAGGCTATCGACCGAAGCTCTCAGTATAAAATGTTGGCTCCTAATAGAATTAGTCTTATCAGCTTTCTTCTTGCTGCCTTCCTGGGGCTTCCGTCCCCCCATCGGTACGCCACAGTTCTCTAACCAATAATTAGTCCAGCTATCTTTTTATTCTGTGGCCCAAAAAGATTGTTGAAACTTTTCATATCCAGTAAAGGTTTCTATAGATTGGACAAAAAAGGTCACCAGTAATCGATAGATCGAAATTAAAACTTTTTGATGATCTCACAGAAAATGTGTTTACAGTTCGGAAAATGATGACGCCTGTCAAAATGTACCTTCTCACGGTCGCAATTTAGACTTTTGCCCTAGTGGAATAAGCAAAAAAAAAAATTCTTCGATTCTAGTATTCTGTTGACGTAATTTATTCCGTCTTTTCCTCATCCAAAAAGGGGGGAGGGTATTTATTAACATCAACTCCTTTTAACTGAAGCCTGTCGATTTCAGCTCGAGATGCTCCAATATCCAATTATGTAACTCCACGGTGAAATTTTCAATAAACGCCTGATAAGTAAGTAACGAATTGAAGAATTCGTTTCCGTTTGAGCAGACCACAGGGGGTATTAGCTAGGTGACGAAATGATTTGGCAAAATTCCTGCAGAGCTAGGAGCGGCTGGGGCGAAAGACCTGTGCAAGGACTCGCATGCTTAGAATGAAATCCTAGCCACTTCGGGTTCGATACCCGCTTACGAACTATCGCATCTCGTATTTACGCCTCCTATTTTAAAAGTACTATCCGGAATGTTACTTTAAACTGTTTTAAATTATGAAAACTATTATTCATTAAGTCGTGTCAAATTAGAAAAAAATGTATAATTAGTTGTTTTAGTTCATTCAATGAAATTGTTATTATTTAAAGACAAAGTCGATATTCTCTGCGGTAGATCATCAATGACTCATATTTTGAGAATCATGCCGATGAATGGATATTTTGTCCGATTGATAGAAAATCTTGTTTATTCAGGAATTCCAACTATTTCTTGAATGTTAATTAACAATCACGTCTTTTCGTGCCTTTATAGTGCTGAAGCCGCTATATGTTCATTATAAAAGGCGTAATGAATGCGCCATTAAGATGCGTTTACGCCTGTTCTTTTGTTGCTTCGGGTTCTATTATTATTTACACATTCATTCACTTCTCCTTTTTATTTATACTGCCGCATAAAAATATTAAGGCATTATTTATTTTTGGTAAATTTCCTCGTTCTCCTCCGACCTCCAGAACTAGTATCAGCTGGACTTTCCGTCCCATATCTTCAGAGGAAGTGATAATTTTTACTCCGGCGGTTTTAGGCATTCTTGGAAATTTGTCGTGGCGATTTCCTTCTTCGATAGCTATGTTATAATTATATATAACTAGTAGAACTCTCACATTAGGTATCCATCGCCTAATACATTCTATGTTCAAGCAAAACATGTTTATTATATTACAGTATAATATTATCAAGATAGTCTATTTAATATATACAATTAGTGCAATTTCAATATCTCTTTTCACTAGAAAGCATCCCATCCATCCGCCAATATAATTGTTAAGCAATATTACACATCTAATCCATTATTATACTTTCTCAAGACCTATTTGTTTAATACAAAAGAGTTTCAGTTTTTAGTTCTCTCTTTTACTAAGAATATTACAGGTGCCATATGCGAGAAACATATATATTTTTTCATTGAAAATATCAAAATTTGTCTCAAGTATATTACATGAAGAGCCCAAGTAATCAAAGATCTGTTCTTCTGCATTTACGTTTCCAATATATGCGTCGAAAATTATCTTAAATAGCACTATTTTATTTTTAAAAACCTATGCTCGTTATAAGTATCCCGTGGCAGCCATAACACCTGAGAATCCTTCGATAAGAATTACGGTTCATCTGGGAAAAGGTATGTTTTGGGGCTTTAAATCCTTCGACTTTGTAAATCATCTTTGTTTTCCTAGAAACCTCTCGATTTTTTTCAATGAGTTTCATTGTAGTTGTAGTACAGTTTTTGTTTTGAAAATTTCATTAATCAATTCTTCATTAAATTCCCTTTCAATTTGATTGCTCATTCATCAAAATCCATCGCTCTTGCGATCGTTACGACGAAAACTATCGTTAGATATATACAGTAGATGATTCAATCTGTAACATTGGCACATTGGTGCTGTTATCACAAACCGTAATAGCCGACCTACTACCCTTGAGAATTTCGATGAAGAGCCATGAATACATTTGTCTCCACTCATTGAATGCAAAAATGTAAATACATTTTAATCGGGCTAACGAGTATAAGTCGATCGGGAGGGCGGCCTTCGCGGCACGTGTACAATTCAATTGTGCTTCCTGGGAGGGAGAGGGCCTTTGACGCCGGCACCAATTGTGCAATATGCTGTTCCCGCGCGAAACATGGTGGGAGAAGGCGGGAAGAATCTTCAAGGACGCGGGAAGTGGTCCATTTGCTCTCGGCGAGGGAATTGGAGCGTAGTAGTGGCCGAAGCTGTCGCGCCCTCTCAATGGGGCCTTTTGCTCTCGAGTGTCAATGCCCAGCGGTGCCGGTAGATGGTGCGCGCGTTCCTCTCGATAAGTCCACTCATCGAAAAAAAAGAGAAGAGAGGAAGGGGAAAAAAAAACTATTTTCTCCCCAAGATGCCGGATTTACATAACGCCTTGATAGCATTAAGATCTTAAAGGTCTGGCGTCTCCAGAGGCGGTCGATACAGTCTACTGCCAGATATTTAGGTCGGGTCCCGTTAAAAACCTACGACAACCAATCCAGTTAGATACATGTCTTAATAAATTTATTACCAACCAAATAAAATAACAATATAGGTGATATAGGTAACCAGGAATCTGTTTCAAGTATATGGATTTTTTTTCCCGTATTGTTGAGCTCAAACTTGTCGGTCCTGGTACTTAAACACCTCCTGTGCTGAAAATATTACCTGATAGCCCACAAGTTTTGGTTAAAACGTAGGCTATTAAAAAATGTCCAATCCAAATATTGATCGATTCCTGATTATTTATCACGCATGGTCTGTAGCGCAGATAAACTCCCATCAGTAAAAATTTAGCACAATTGGAAATAACAGGCTTTCATGTTTAAAAAAAATCGATTTAAAGCACGATCAATCGCGTAATTACATTTTTTTTTCTGCATTTTACATAGTTAACAAATTGATAAAAAATGTAGATAAGATAAGAAGAGTATCCTTATCTAAAACGTCCCATTCATTAAAATTTGAAGTCATCCTCAATACTCCTGATTATGAATGAATTTTTCGTTCTTAGCTTAAGGTTCTACCTTCAACTTTTCTCTTTGCTTAATATAGACTTAGTTCTCCTTCCTCTGCGGTACGTCTTGGATTATATCATCTCTCTGGCAGCCGTGGTTCTATATCTACTTCTCTTTCTGTCTGATTTGCCCTCCAAAATTTTTTTCGAATTATTAGCCTGCAAAAAATAACTTCAGTGAATTATAATAAAATACGTCATTTTTTTTTTATAATTGTACATAATAATTTTATAAAGTACATTGTTATTTTTTGCCGGTAGTTGATTATTATAAGATTACGTGTCATAATGTGCTGTAGAATATTATAGCTCTTGGACTGCCAGTACCGGTATAAGTAGGCCTTCCTCAACATTCTGATAAGTGAATATCCTGACCGAAGTACACCTGTTTCCGTCTTGAAGTAGTCCCACAGGCGCAGATAAAAAGTCTATTTCTCTTTGCGCACGCAACACTAATCAGGACAGGAGCCGGTCTGCGCTTCTAGCTCTAATTACTACCTCGAGTGCAACGGCCCTTCTCAATTATGATCCATTTCTTCTTCTTTTTCTTCTTCTAGTTAGTGACCATGTTACCTTTCTTGTTCTACCCTCACATCCTGTTTTAATTCTATTTTTCCTTCTGTAATGAGGCCTCTTGTAGTAAAGCTGTCTTAGTTTAGTATCCCATTGCCGGCTGTAAAAACTCTCCGTTGGCAATTAGTGCATGGATATGCTTCTTGATTTCTACTTTTGCAACTTTATAATCCTCATCAGTACACCGGAAAGGTCTGCATAGAATTACCATGAATATCTAATATCATAGTAAAATAATATACAAAGTGACTTTTCTTCCTTCAGTGGTCATTTTCTTTCTGAGATTCTCAAATTGAACTACGTTAATAAAGTTGACATTTGTTGTCTTCAGGAGTGGCCATCACTCTCTTAACTCAAGAATTTCATGACTCTGCATCTTTGTGAAAAAAAAAACTGTCCAAGCGAAAGTAGTATTTAAAAATCGTTTTATTAATTTTCATATTTTTTAAGTACCCTTTCATAAGAATTTAATATCTCTACCAGTTACTAAATTATTGCTGTCTGCATCCATTAGAGGAATACCCATTGGGAAGGGGGGAAAATTATTATATTTCTGGACCGGGATATTTAAAAATTGTCAGCAAGGAGGGAATGTCTTTTAAGATAATGTTGTCATAAAATTTGGTGTTCGCGTTCCGCACACAATTGTATAGACAACATTCAAGACCCAAAACAAAGGAACCTGATACAGTCAGTCATGCGCCGGATGTAAGTGTATAAACTAGGATAGATTGAGGTGGCGGCCGTGGCGGGACAAGAACCTCCTTGAAGGCTATACCTTCCCGCCTTTTTACCCCTACTCCCGCCCTCTTCGTTCTCCCGCCAAAACCCAAGGCCTTCCCGCGCGCGGGATTATTGACTGTTCTACAGCAAGGTCATGGCGCCATTTGTATGGGTCCGGTCGTGGCGTAAGGGTTTTTTCCGAGTCGGCGATCTTGTGTGTGTTCCAGCGATATCCATTGTATTGAGGCATTCTGTTTAAGGAATGGCAATTAAATTCTGTTTGGCGCCAGTGATAAGGTTCGACCGATTTTGCCTTTTATTAATTTAAAGAACTTGGTTTAATAAAATCAATTATAAACGTTGAATCTTGTATTTAAATTATGTATATTTATGAATAAATGGATAAGACTTGTTTGCTGGAAAGATTGTTATTATGTATTTTTTTTTTATTTTAAGCGTGGCCTAAGTCTGGAAAGATATACGATTTTGTTTATTTTTCACCCCACTTTCAAACTAGTGTTGGTTTGTTATTCTACTCGAAAAAACAACTCAATTTTTAAGGTGCTAGCTTCTTTCCAGAAAAAAAAATCTGTATATTTCTAACAAAGATAAAAAGAGCTTACTGGACCTAAGTAAATTTACCGGTAATAGACAATTAAACTGAAATTTTTAACATTAATTTGAACCACAACATCTTACAGTGGATCTTTGCAATTAGGTTTTATTGGAAGCGAATTTAGTCTTTCATAAATTTTTTTTTAGTTAATTATTAAATTATGAAAAACATGATATTTTTAAGTCAATATTTTTTCATAAGATATGGTTTTATTTAACATTTTTGGGGAGGCTTCGGTGCAAAAGCCTTCTCCTCCCCGGTATATCCGCCTGTGAGCGGAAAAAAAACCGTATTAAAATTTTTTTTTTTTTTTACGAATTTTTCATAATTATTGGCCTGGTCAAAAACTTCCATATTCCACGCGAATTTCTCCCATATTATAGAGATTCAATTCTTAAAGACATATTATTCTAGGTTCGTCATTAATTTATTATTATTATTATTATTGCTTATTAAATTAAAGTGGTATAGAGATACCCTCTCCCACTCCTCTTCGACCAGATTCGCAGACCGACGACGATAAGGAGCACGATAGGATAGAGAGGAAGAGAGAGAGAGAGTGAGAGGGAGTGATGATTGACCTTCACCCAGTCTGGGGTGGAGAACCTCGCTCAAGGCCTGCCCTTGGTCCTCTCCGTCTTCGCTGCTGCTTCTGCTCTTTAAACCTCTCTTCCCTTCCTTCCTCTTCGCTTTCTTTAAATCCGACAACGACTGATCTAACCGAGTTCGAATCCGGTCTAGGCTTGTAGAGAATTAACGATTCGTGTTTTCAATGGAGCATTTCACCGAAAAAATATATGGCTGTTACTATGTCGTCGATATCTCTATGTGAAGGAATTTTTGAGATAGCGTGTTTTTTTTATCTTGAGTTTCAGCCGATTGGAATTCCCATCAATTGCTCTTCTTATGCCAGATATTTTAAATTTTTTTTTTTTTTTAAATAAAATACTTATAAAATATAGTGCATATATTTTTTTTAACTTGTAATATCTTTTCATAAAGAAATAGTAATTTTGTATAAATTTAAGGACACTAAGTATTAAAAGTAATAAATAATTAAATATATATATATATATATATATATGTATATATATATATATATATATAATAAATTTTAAAAAAATTCTTGAAAATTTTAGATAATTATCAAATGACTGAAATGTAGTACAGTAGAAAACCAGTGATAAAATGATTAAATGAGTATAAATTTTCTACACAATTAACTAGTCAGATATTATGTCAGGTACATTTATACCATATATATATATATATATATATATACAAAACAGCAATAAAAAATATATATATATATATAATAAATTTTTTTAAAAAATTCTTGAATATTTTAGATAATTATCAAACGTCTGAAGTGTATTACAGTAGAAAACCATGTTACCAGTGATAAAATGATTAAATAAGTATAGATTTTCTACAGAATTAAATAGTCTCAAAATTTATAGTTCTGTCCAATGTATTATTCGGATTGAAATATAGAAAAAAAAAAATAAACCTATAAACTTGGGGGATTAATAGGGTAACAAACAGCAAATAAAATCATTTGATTTTCTGTTTAATTTATTAAAACATCAAGAACAACTCAGATTTGTACATTAACATTGATAAGAATTAAAATATTTTAAATATCAATTCTGTGAACATTTGGAGAGTTCTTAAAATTATTTGTTAGATTTTTTTTTTTTCCTTGCAATAATCAAGATTTCTGTTTTTTTTTTTTTTTTATTATTAAAAGCATTCTCATCTAGTCTTATACTTTATTTAATATAACACAACAGTGTACCTTTTTTAGATATATTCAGCAAAACTACTATTAGAAAGTTAAGGAGATACGATTTTAAAAAATGATACAATAAGCACGATTATTATATTTAATATATGCCCTGGTTGACATTAAGAAAGATACTTATTATCACATATTACAATACCTATTAAATAAACCATATTGATCCAAACGGAATATTTATATCATTATTTTTTCCAACTTCGTGGTTTCGAAATCCTTTTTTAAGGCAAAAAAAAACTTTTTATTAATCATTTTAAATTATTATTTCCACTGATTGTTAAAATTCTTTCTATTTTTGCGTAACTTATAATGAACAGACATCCTTCTAGTTGAGAACCATCTCGAAACCTTATCAGTCTTAGCACTGTATCATGCAAACATTCCCCTTATCAGTAACAGTTTTGTCAGTTGTTGACTGCGGGGGAAGAGGGGGGAGGGAGTACTGTTATCGGGGCCGGAAATTGAGGGGGTGACGGGTATGATCCTGGGTGCCCTGTGTTACAGTACGCGGCTTTGTCTGTCGGTCAGGTGTAGATCTTTCCGAACAGATTGTGCGTGTATGTTCTTGCGTGTACGTGTGGAATGAGAGAAATCTCATTGTCGCGTATAACATTCACACAAGATGTCTCCTTCATTAGCTCCTCTGGAGTGGATGAGAAGGCGCCAAACAGGAGTAGCTCTTTTGTCAGACAGGACACAAAAGGATCGGGAAAAATTGAAGTGGCCACCAAAATCCAAGGACGATGATTCACAACATCCATTTCGTCTCGTCTGTCTTTGTTGTGTAGGCGGATCGCCGAATTCAATTGTCTGCATAAATTGTCCGTTCACATCTGCTTGATCTGTCTAGTCCAATAATAAAGCCATAAATAGAATTATCAACAAATAAATAAAATTAATAATCATCATCAGTGTTATAAATTCATTATGTTACAACCTAGGCCATAAGTAATTAAAAAAAGAATTGTTCAATCATAACTTTCCTAACTACATTTGGATTTATCTTTTATTTGTTATAATTATGAAAATTAAAATTTTTTTTAGTATAATTTTTTTTATTTAGAACTATAAGATTAAGTCAACAGCTGATGCATGCTAGGGAATTGCCCTGGTCTAAAGGTATCGTTTCATCCTCGTGTTTCAATGCTGAGCGGTTTTGCTACGGATCGAATCCGTCTCTAACGCTAACTCGATATTTTCCTTTTTTTTTCTTTATTTAACTTTTATTGTAATAACTACGTTATATTATAAATGGTTATTCATTTTATTAAATATAGCTATTACAACTTTTTTTTTTTTAAATGTTTGAAATATATTATATTTAGGTAATGGGAATTATAATTTTTAAAAATTATTTATACACTATATAGTTTAATTTAATATACAATTTTAATATATATTGCGAAAATTTAACTGTACGTGATACCTCAACGGTACCTCCGGCTGGATGTTAAGGACAAAGCATTGACGTAACTTGACAATGGGAGGAAGTTGTGCTCCCAACTTAACCCTTATTAAAACCAGTACCGTTTTATTTTTGAATAAAATTAAACAACGAAACTTAATCCCTCCTTTTATATGTATTATTATAGCCGTACATTTTTTTTTTTTAAATAAATAGGTAAAAACGAATCTAAAAAAAAAAAAAAATGTGAACTAGGTATTGTCACTGCTTACTTGATATCAAATCGAATAAATTGAATAATTTACTTACTTTTTCAAAGGCTGGTGCAGATTTTGCGTTTTTGGCCGCTCTGATAAGAAAGTTGTAACCGATTTGATGTAGTTTCACCGGATTATTTTAGGTCAAACTTCTTAGTTTCACTTGTGACTTTTTATCCGTTTTCTTCTCCTCTCTTCTATAAACTGAATGGTTGTGTGCCTTTTTCGGTGTTTTGTCACTACCTGAGAAAAATAAATAAAAATGGGATCATGTTTTTTGTTATTTTTTAGGTTATTTTAATTTTATTCAAGCTATATTTTACACCTAAGTATCGTATATATGGTTTTAACTGTTTATTATCTATTTGTTAATTATATATATTTTTCTTAAAATAAATTAATCAACTTAAGTTACAAACAAAAGTTAAAGCATATATAGATACATACATGTAATTTGTTGTCTTATATTTATTTAAATTGAATTAAAAATGTGTCTCTTATTAGTTACCACCAAGTCAAAATTTAATAAAAATTGCATTAATTTTTTTTTTATTTAAATAAATTACCAGAACTTTTTTTTTACTTTGTTGTATGCATGTTAAAAGCAAATTTTTATGTGATATTATTTAATTTTTCTTTACAGGTTTTTTTTTGTTATTTATTTTTTATACGTATTTTTCCTCTCTTATTTGTAGGTATCATAATGCTTGCTATTTATTTATACGTAGTGTTTGTATTTTCCTTGAATGCATTTTCTTACCTTATGATTATCTGGAATGCATCCCTGACCTTTATTTCCTTTTTGATTATTCGGAATGTATTTTGTTTTCTTTTATAATTATCCTGAATGCATTTTGTTACCGTATGATTATTTGGAATGCATCTCCTATTATTATTCTGAATGTCATGATTGTTCTTTTATGATGTTGTATGGGTTATTTTTTTTTTTGTTGATAATTATTATGGTAGTTTGACTATGGTGCATCATTTTTAATTACGATTAGTTTTTCTGTATTTTTTTCTATTCTCTATGTTCCACTCTTTTATCTGTCTCTTCTTTGTCTGTCTCTCTGTAGACTCTAGTAGAATTGTCAGTCTTAGATATCGTTGTCATTTAATTTATTGAGTTGTTTATTATTTTTATATTTATTATATTTTATTGTTGTCAATAGATTATTTTGTATTTTGTTTATTTTTTTTTCTTTTTAATGCTTTTTTGTCCTGGTACTGTATGAGCTCACTGTTTCCTTTTCAGTGTATTATGGATTCGAACCGAGAAAACTAAGACCTCGTCAGAAACGACAACTTCAATATCCGGGTGAGTCCATCCTCCAGAGTGTATCCTTTGCCGCCTGAGAGAAGACAGGAGCAGGAGTCGGGTGCGGTGACCTTGGATCGATATAGAGTGCCGCTTGCGGTATGCGCCACTCTTGGGTGCGGTTCCTCTAGTTTCCCTTCTATGTCCGATCGCCATTTTGTAAAGGCTTATCTAAAAACAGAAACTTATAATTAAATTCCCTACTCGCAATATATATATTTATGTTTTTGTAGGATTTTAGGTAATATTTTTCGAGGTACAATATATTTAATGTACCCTAGGTTAGGTATCCTAAGAATATTCTTCGTTTAGAACTTTGAACTTTCTGTGATTCATACATATTTTTATCGCATCATTCGAAATAATTATAGATGTAAATGTAACATACTTGTATTTTCTTTTCTGACTAACGTATCTAGTAGTTACTACTGAGCCATTGCCACAGAGGTTTCTTCACCCTCATTGGAACAAACCCAACCAAACGAGACTGAAATAGTGAGGTCTAGACGAGCCCTACGGCTTTTACAGTTATTTTAATATATTTTTGCAACAATTTTTATTTTAATTAACTATGGTACACAAGTATAGTTTGTTCTCATAGCTTGATCGAATCCAGTGTTGATTTACCCCTTGTTGCTACAACGAATCTTGGTAGCTCCGGTATAGTGTGAGATTATTTTTTTCCCCCCTTCGGTTCTAAACAAAACCTGAGGGCGCCCTTTAAACCGGACCAAGCTTCGGAACCGGAGCTATTCACCAGAACCGGTTTCCACGAACATTGTGCACCTTAGGCAACTAGTTCAGTTCAGGAGCATTCTCGTTTCGTCTTTTATATACATATTATTTTATATTGTATGCAATTGATAAACCTATTAACAAGGTAAACTTAGTTGAGCCGCCTTCCTTCAATGGGCCCGACGACCGGGCACCTTAGCCATCGCAGTTAGGCCGCGAAGGGTGATTGACCTTGTGGTCGATAGAGGCCGCCACGCCCGCCCCATTCATAAGCCTCTCCTCCTCCCCCCCCCTCCCTCTGGGTACTTTCTAATTGTCCCGATCAGCCGATTAGCGGGGTACTCGTCACTGTCGGCTCTCTAACATCGCATCTTCTCTCAATCAGGCATTGCTGACTCGTTTTTTTATATATATATTATATGTAGCATGCATCCAAACTGTACTATGATCAATTACATTGCGCTATCTATTGCACTTTTAATATTTAACATAAAAATATAATTTAAATATGGTTATTTTTTATCAATTTTTCTATTACAGAAGAGGAAGTAGAAGAAGTGGAAGAAGAGGATGAAGAGGAAGAGGAACGTGAAATTGGTGAAGAAGAAGAAGAAGAAGAATGCGATAACGAAGATGAAGAGGTAGATGTAGAAGAGATAGACCCAGAAAGCCTTTCCTTATTACTTAAAAACAACAACAACAACAATAACAACACACAAGTCTCGCCGCCCTTGAGGACGACAGTCCGGACCATAAGGACGCCCGCCAGGACACTCCTGGGACAGAGGAATGCCCACACGCTTCCCAACAACCCCAGCAAGCAGATGCAAGACCAGATCCAGGACGAGATGGCCTCAGCGATCACGACGAGCAGCCTCATCTCCGCTTCCAAGGCCGTCTCCAGGCGGCTCAACGGCGCCATCAAGAGGAAAAGGACGACGACACCTGCCGCTCCAGCCCGCGGGCGGCGGAGAGCAGCCGCCCCCAAGAGGTCGCGCTTCTCCAACGGCTACCTCATCGACACCGAGAAGAGGTCGCTCCACAACAACATGGAGCGGCTGCGAAGAGTGGACCTGAGGAACGCCTTCGAGGACCTGAGGCAGCTGGTCCCCGCCACCGCCGACAGCCACAAAGCGGCCAAAGTGACCATCCTCAAGGACGCCACCCACTACGTCCGCGAGCTCCACCTCAAGGACAGGAACTGCTCCGCGCAGCTCGCCGCCCTTAGGAGGGAGCAGGACAGGCTGAGGACCACCCTCTCCCAGCTCAGGAGGATATTCGCCTATAAGAATTCACAGCAAATCCTTTAATGTGATTTTTTAAATAATTCATTTAGTTATTTAGTTAATATGGAAACGTGTTCATTAGTTTTATAGGCTCAGTTGTATATATATATATACATATATAATATTTATATGCCATAAAATCCTTTTTTTTATGTTACCAAGTTATTATTGAGGTATTGATTGGCCTTCATATTTTGTACATAGAATCTCTTTGAAAGTTTTGTATTAAGTAACGAAGCCTTTTTTTTTTTTTATTCTTTATATAGTTAAATAGACAAGCTTTATTGAAGTAATCCACAAGTCTGTATTTTTGTAAATAATTTGTGTAATTGTTAATAATTGTAATTATTGTGAATATTCGTTTGATGAAAAGTTTAATTGAAGTAGTAGTGGTGAATTCTTTTTCTAGTTACAATTCGATATGGGTATAGTTTTAGTTATTTTGTGATTAAAAGTTTTGTTGTTTGTTTTATTTTATTTTATTTTTAAAATTGACTTTGATATGATTGAATAATGAATAAATGAGTTTAGAAGTGCTTGTCGGTTTTATATACTCAGTAAGTATGTACACTAAATGGCAGCATCTTCTATTTTTTTTTACTATTAGATTTTGTTTAAATTAGCTTTAATCGATTTTGTGAACCAAAATCAGTTTGGTATAATTGGAAAATAGTGACTTTGTACCGCAGCTTTATAGCTTAGCTTGATGCTGGGCAGCTGGCAGGCAAATGAGTTTTGTATATTTATTGTAACATATGATTGTACAGATTTATTAATTAACACTAGCAATTGTTATAGATTAATTATATTTCAAATTGAATTGTTGTAATATTTGTCTGGTTTATCTTCTTTCGACAGGATATAACTAATGCTAAGATCATAAGTCAGACGAATGGTTCAAACAGATATTTTTTTTAAATGTTTATTTTAGCATATATACAATTATATCAGGGCGTAGACTAGGTTGTACGATAAGGTGCTTACTATATCAGGTATGGAATATATATATTACGATATACCTCTGATGTGCCTTGTGTGTAATATATGTTCTTCATATATACTAATAATATTATACAAATTATCTAAATAGGTGTATAAGATTGGACTGCTTGGTGCTAAGTGTTATTTCAAAGAAGTTTTACAGTCTTTACATACTTTTTAATATTTTCATATTTTTTTAATAAAAGTAACAATGTTGCATAACGGAAAAAACTATTATTTTATAACTGTACCTGCGCTAGGTTCCCTGACATTCCAATTTCATCGCAAGTTCTTTACAAATCCATCCAGTTTCTTTACAATTTCTTTTATGTTACTATTTGAGGCACACTTATTAGATATATATTTTATTTTTGTTTGTTTTTTTGACAGCCTTGCCAACTATACTGTGTTTTATATTCAAGTCCAGGTTTCAAACAGCTGATTTTTTAAAATTCATATTCTGAAAATAATAATGGAAAAGAAAATTGAACTTCAGCAATATCATCAGAAAAAAATTAATCTCAAGACATTACATTATATTTATGACTGATTGCAACCTGGCACAAACATATGTTTGTCACCTAGATTTATTTATCAATTTTAATGTTTGGAAAAAATAATGCTTTGCATATTAATTAGAGCAATTTAAAAAAAAAAAAGTGAAAGTACAACTAAACCTGTTATATAATCATTGATTAATTTTATTTTTTGGAAGTACTTAATTATTTTTTGTTATATTACATTATTTACACCTGGAAGTTGAACCTTCAAATTTGTTATATCTACCATTAGAAAGATTGTTTCTCATTTTATTATTGTTTTTAGGGTTCATATATCAGATATTATTGGCTAGTTAGAGTGATTATTGATTTGTTAAATTAACTATTTTTGAGAAAAATAGTTACTTGATTGTAGTTCCTCATTATTTTTTTTTAAACCGCAAAAATATAATTTCAATATTTTAAAAACCCCAAATGTGTTGTGTATGTATAAGATATACCCAAATATCCCTATCCTGTTTATTCTAGTACAAGGAATATTGCAACTTTAATATAAAGTGAAAGAACATAAATTAATAAAATGAGACCCTTACTAATGGATTCGGCAGAACTTCCCAAGAAAGAACAACAGATCTCACCAAAAAATAATTAAATAAAAATGTATTTTAAAAAACAAGACAGGGCCCAAAAAATAAATCTAAAAACAATACTTGTCGATCTATATAGTAAAACTCGTCTGTAAAATGTAAAATAATTTCTTTCACAAAACTTTGATATTTAATACTTTCATCAATTAAATTCTCTACAATTAATTTTGAAAAGTCATTTATATATGGTAAACATTATGTAGTTAGATATGAAGTTTTGAAATATATTAGTCCGCGGTACAGACCCATTTTTATCTACGAAACTATTTTATTTACGAAAATTCTCGGAATTGGGTCGTTTTCAATCTGGAGATCGTCAAACTTTGTTTACTTAATTAGGCTTTAAATCTCTTCTGTACCACGGACTTGTATATCATGATCTATTATTACCTGCAATCGTTTAAATCTCCCATCCACTCGAAAGTAGACTGTACCGCACGACAGTCGAGAACATCGTAAATCCACTAAAAAATAAGGGAACAATTTTTTAACATTCATTTCAAGTTATTTATAATAATTATATTAAAATTCCAGCAAGAAAAAGTATAAATATATAATTTACATCAATATTATTTTAATTTGAAAAAAATATATCAGGCTGTGTTTATAGCTAAAAATACATTCATACATAAATCATATTTAATTGACTTAGTTTTGATATAACGGAATGATGAAGTTTAAGCACAATAAAAATAAATAATTTTTTTTTTCTTCTCACATTTCAAACATTTTGAAATGTTTTAGTTATCGTTTAACCGTTTCAATTTACATAATGTATGTCTATAGTGTCCTAAAAACACTTCAATTAGTCTACTCCAGCAGACTGTACCCGAGCGTTACACATCGGAGATCTGACGGCTCGATGTAATTCACTTGGTTAGACTGAAGGTTATACATATAATCTTCAAAAATAGATTACATAATCCATTAAAATCTCGAGAAAAACTCTATTTAAATAAAAACAAAACCAACATGTCTGTAAGAAAAAAAACATGAATGACAAATGAATGAGTTAACCATTTGTTAATTAAACCCAGCTAAAAAAACCTGAAATTTATTCCATTCAAAGAAATAATTGTTTGTTAAATAAACTAATCACCATTATGTTGTTTTAAAATTAATCTTCCCTTCATTTTACTAAAATAGAAAAAAACAAGATATTTGTTTATACTTTGCTTTGAAATTCACTAATAATAATGAATATCATATGGGCCTTTCAATTGACAGAATGGCTAAGTCTAATTTTAACATTTTTGTGTAAAGTCATTTCAGTAATATTTCTAGTTGAAAGTATATAATATCCGAACAGACAGTGATAAGTTGATTTCGGAGTAGGTGATAGCAGTGTTCAAATATAGAACCGCGAAAAAGTTATAAACTTTCCAACTAGGATTGCTTACCAATTTGTAGAGGGCATTGGGTTCGGTACTTTGTAAGGGAGTATTGTTGATTGGTCAACGGTTATTACAAAGAAGTGATTTGACCGAGATCACACTCAACTACTAGGTTTTTCCCTTAATTTATTATTTTAATTATGAGTATCCACTTTATTTTTTTTTGCAAATTCTCAGAATTGACAAGTTTAAAATTGATCTAACTTTTGAACCGCTGAAGATAAACAAGTAAAGTAATATATATTATTGAAAAACATTTCATTATTAAAAACTTTCTTCCTTATGACTTATTATTTATTCCCGGAGAAAATAAATAAAAATTTATTTCCTTTTTAAAGAATATTTTTTGTCTTATTGAAGGAAGTTAGTCGACTGTTCTACATATCATGGATGATAAATATTCAGGACGCAGTCATTATAAAGTTTGAGTTAGTACCGACGTTTCAAGCCAAACATGTTGGTCACCATCAGGGCGTGTTTCGAGTACTGAAGGTATTCCTGAATATTAATTGTCAAACCTAAGTGCTTCAATAAGATATTATTCATTTATAGCAAGGGTTGAAACTTTTATAGAACTTTCAGAAAAAAGTTCCGTTTAAAATGTTTCTATAAAACTTCTTAGGAAAAAGGTTCTTAAAATAAATGTTATAAGGAACTTTTTTTGTAATAATATTCCAGGTTTATGGTAAAATTTTAGCTTATATTTATTCGCATCCTTAATAAAAGTTCTTTTAACTGAAAAATTAACAGCAATTTGTCTTGAATGAATTACTAAGTAGCTAAGGATAAGTCATTTTTATTATCGACTTTTTGGCGAATCGATAGAACTTTTTAATACAATTTGTAAATAACATAAAAGTTCTGTAAAACCTTTTCTTGAAAGTCACAATGAAAAAAGTTCTAGTTCCAAAATAACTGAAAAACTATCGAGAGTAAAATTTCAGTGATGCTGAAACTTTTTAAAAATAAATGTTTTTTTATTTATAGTAATAATATTCTGCTAGGATCAACATAAAAAAAAATATTTTTAATAAAAGATAAAATAAAATTTTGATTATGGTGATCGATCAGGAGGAGACGAAATCTCGAATTTAAAGAGACGAATCGTAGGAAGCAAGGCGCTATCCCCGTGAGAAACTACAACGCAGTAAACTATTTTTACTAACAATAGCGCAATATTCAGATTGCTGATGCAACAGCCATTGTAAGATGCAACCGGTAGATGAGTTTGTGGAAACGAAAATACTTTGTATAATTTAACACGCGGATGTTGGAGCGCTGCCTAACCGTTTAATGGGGGAGACCCCAAAGTCTCCTTTCGAGCCCATTTAAAGTTTAAATTGGCTACAAACTCGAAAATCTGTTTCCAAAAATATTTCTTTTGGGCAAAAAATTGAGAAAGGGATTGCAAAATAAGAGAGTAATCGTCCATTGTCCATTAATAAAGCATCAAAATAAAAACAAAACTATCACTTTAATCTGTGGAGGATTTTCTATAAGCAACTACTGTTTTTAAGCCAATAGTTTTTTTTTTTTTTTTTTTTTGGATCCTACCCTTCCTCACCTTTAAGTTATACGGGGTTTTCCGGGGTCAGGGGGTGTGGGCGGAGATTTAAAAGACTCCCCCGGCACCGGGACGCGAACTCCTGACTATTTCAAATC